CTGATCTGGTGTTTTTACTGTGTCTGCAGGCTTTCAAAGAGATGCTGTATGCTGCTCAGGACCAGGCCCCGTCTATCGAAGGTATTACATGCACGCACACACAGTCATGCAACTTCCTGTTTCTTTCACCTTCTCCAGTCTTACTTATCAGAGCTGTTGCTGTCTTGCTTTGTACTGGAAACTGTTGTGTTATCATGTCGGTGTAAGACCACGCGTGTTACACGTTGATATTTGTGCCACAGCTGAACATGGTCCAAACCCAACAATTCCTAAATACTGATGTTCAACAAGTATTTAAAGATATGATCATGAAAACCTGGCCTACAGCTCAGTGTGTTAGGACAGCTGGGCACAGACTGGGGGCAGTGCTCACACAGAGTACAAGTGCTGCCCAGTTACGGCCTTACTTACATTCAGTTAGGCTGATTGATTGATCCTGAAAATAACGATTAGTTAAGTCCAGTATTCTCTGTTCCAAACACAGAATATTCAGAAAATATATGTACTGCAGCTACTGATTATTTTAGTAATCCATCGATTATTCCATTGAGTAATCCGATAACTGATCCGATATACGGCATCGGTCCGATCCTGACCTAAAGTACTGGATCGGATATCGAGGAGAAATGAGAAATGTAACCCGATCCATCAAATATCACAAAGCACCTCACAAAAGCTGCGACAGGGCGTAACCCGGCTCGTGACCTCAGCGCGTCGGAGCAGTACGCGTCACGTGACAGAGCGGCTGTTGCGTGCGGGACCTGTCGGTGGGCTGGCGTTCACAGAGCATCTGGAGCCGCGCTACGTGCTGCCAAACCGGCATCTCGGAGAAAGCTATCCCAGAGACACAAAGCAAGTTCCTCTGTGAATGTTTGTGGAGCACTCCCACGTTCAGCCTCAGAGGCGGTATATGGAGCTGGGACGTCTGTGACCGAACGATGGACAGACTCACGTTTTACTTTGGAAAAAACTGTTACAGGCTGAACAAAACCCCAAAACACGAAGAACACCTTTTTCATCCTT